GTCTAACCTGCTTCCTCTTTCATTGCTCAGGCAGGTGGTGTTTGGTTTGCTTATCGGTTTACCTATCCTATGCCCGGTGGCAGTGAAGGCTGAAACTTTTACTCCTCACTTCCCCTCCTGGGTCTTCCCAACTGTCTGTCTGTCAGAGAGCAGCCTCTCCCCATCTTCCCAGGGCTGACCGTGTTGGTTGTTGGAGAAGGATCATTCTCCCAGCTGAGCAGCCTGTCAAGACCATTCAGTCTTTTCAAATAAAGGGAATCTAGTCTCATTGGAGGGTTGTGTCACTAACATTTCTCTTCTTTCTGCATTTATTCATTTTTTTTTCTAACTCATCAGGGTAACCTATGCAATTTGAGTATATTCACGATGAAGCTTGAAATTTCTTTCTTTCTTTCTTTCTTTCTTTCTTTCTTTCTTTCTTTCTTTCTTTCTTTCTTTCTTTCTTTCTTTCTTTCTTCTCTGTCTCTCTCTCTCTCTCTCTTCCTTCCTTCCTCCCTCTCTCCCTCCCTCCCTCCTTCCTACCTTCCTTCCTTCCTTCCTTCCTTCCCTCCCTCCCTCCTTCCCTCCCTCCCTCTCTCTTTCTCTTTCTTCCTTTCTTTCTTTCCTACTAACTTTGTTGCAAATTGCCACACTGTTCTCTAGTGGCTGCTGCTTTAGTGGTCAACATTTTCTGGGTGAAGATTATTACTGAAAATATCAGCTCCTTGTAGGAAGGTATTCACTTACTGTGGCTATGTATTTCAAAGAAATACCACCTTCACTCATATTTTGAGCTAACTGAAAATAGTGGAATAAAGAGGTAATTAGCATAACATCCATTATTCCTGATATTAGGAGGAAAGTGTTCAATATTTCAATGCAACAGGTCACAAACATAGACAGCTACAACAATGGTGTGAAACCTTGTCTATGTAATTAACCAACACTCATGATAGGAAAAACTTTTCTCTTTAATATTTTCCTTTTGATTGTAAAAATTTCTAATACATGCAAATGAGTATAATAGTTCCCGTCCTACCTTTGATAATGACCAACTCTGGCCTCTCTTGTTTCTTCTCCATCTACTTCTCCACCTCCTTTGTTATTCTGTGTAGCTGCTGCTTTCCTTCGGAGTGCCCAAGCACGCTTTACACCTGCTGTATACATTCTATGTGAGAGATACCAGTGTCTTCTCCCTTCTGTTCTCGCTTTCTGGGTAGAGGTCTCCATTAATAATGCCAAGTGAAACGTGGACTTATTCCCATAACTTGCTTATTCAGGGTTCTCAATTAATACAAACAGGTTAGTTATAATAAAGATGATCATTTTGGGTTTGTCCGTAACAGGAAAAACACCATTGCTCCAATTTGCAGTTCTTAAAGTCAACATGCTGTTTTGCTGCCCTCTGCTGGAGACAGAGATTTGAGTGGAAGAGAGATCTGGGAGCTAAACTATTGCTATACTTGGGGGTCTCCTAGGGTGGGAGAACAAAGACTCAGGTCCAGTGGGGTCCTGCAGGAGAAGTTTGTAGATGCAGGGCAAGGAGAGGAGAAGCAGAAGTTGCTCTGGGGGCAGACTCTAGGCCAAAGCAGGGGAGAGAGACTATTATCAGGGGAATGGAGGGGGGAGACACATAACTGGATGGGGGCAGAATTGAACTGAGAGGGTCCTTGGTGCATGAGTCACATGCTCTCCCTACTCCAGGAGGATATGACTCACGTGGCTCTCAGTCTGGTTTATAGGCCCATTTACTCCCCTCATTTGTGAATTACTGGTCTGTGTAACAGACACCCTCTGGCACAAAGTGCCCCAAATGAGAAATGAGTTTTGATTACTGGTGAGTGCTTTCTGTGTCATAAGAAATTTTCGCCTACTTTCAACTCAGAGATGTTTCCCTATATTTTCTCCTACAGGTGTGTGGTTTTTGCTACAGGTTTTTGCTTTTACACTTAGCTGTAAGAGTCATCTCACATTGATTTTTACTTAAGGTACAAGATACCAGTAAAGTTTCTTTCTTTCCATGTGATTATCCAGTTGTTCCAACATTGATTGTTGAGAAAACTGCTATCTTAATGCATTAAAATTTCCAATCCATAAACATCACATATCTTTCCATATTAATGTTTTCTTTATTTCCTTTGCCATGGTGTGTGGTTTTTAATTGAGTATCTTTTGCTAAATTTATTCCTCTTATTGATACCATTATACCATTACCATATTGACACCACTATATATTTTTTCCTGAAAGTTGATTTTTCAGTTGTTTGCAACTAGTCTAAAAACACTTGATTTTTTTTCCATTGACCTTGTATCCTGTGATCTTGCTAAATTCATTCGTTATTTCTACTTGTGGTTCATGGATTCCTTGGGGTTTTCTATATAAACAATCATGTCCTCTAAGAATAGTGATAATTTTACTTCTTCCTTTACAATATTTAGGATTTTTCTGTCGTTTTTTTATTTTTTCCCATCACACTGGTTAACACCTCCAATATAATACTGAAGAAAATATTGTAATGTGAGAAAATATCATGCTTTATTCCCAATTATAGGAAGAAAGTGTTCAATATTCACCATTAAATAGGATGTCAGTTGTATACTTTTCATTGCTACCCTCCATCAGATTGACAAACTGCTATTCTATTACCAGTTTGCTGAGAGTGTTTATTTTAAATGGGTACTGGGTTTTGTTAAAAGTTTTCTCAGCATCTGTTGAGGAGGTTGAATAATTATTCTTCATCATTCTGCTAACATGATGAAATACATTGATTTTTGAGTGCTAACCCACTGTTTGTCCTGCAATAAACCTACTGGTTATGATGTATTATCACTATGTATGTATATGCACATGCATACACACATAGATACATATACATATTTGGATTTGATTTGCTCATATATTGGGAAGGACTTTTTTCATCTATGATAATACAGGATATTTTCCTGTAATATTTTTTGTCAGATGTTGGCACCGAGGTTTTGCTGACTTCACATAATAAGCTGTGAAATATTCCCTTCTCCTTATGTTCTAATGAAATGTTTATGTAAAATTAGCTTTTTTTCCTTAAATGTTTGACAAAATTCACCAGGAAGGAATCTGGGTTTGTAGTTTTCCCTGAGGGGGTGTTTTTGGTGAATAATTCAATTTCCTTTGCATAGAATTTTTACATTTCTAATTTTATCTTAAATGAGTTGGTAAGTTGTGTTTTCCAAATACACAACATTTCTTCCCACATCTAACACCTTTTCATTGCATGATTAAAATTGTGGATGCTACTCCAGTGGTGAGAACCTAGTTTTGTTTTTATTTTATTTTTCTGTCTTTATTTAGAGAGTGCCAAAATATTTGTCCCTAAAAGGCCCTTAATTTATTAGCAGATCAGCTGGACCCCTTGGGCGCCTGTTGAGCTCTTCTAAGGTAGTTCTTGGGTGGCCTCAACTCCGGGAGCTCCTGGGAAGCCCTTCTCTTGAGGGTACGACCACCCCAGGTGTGCAGGTGTATCACCAAGGCGTTCAGTGAGGTCTGTCCACTCTGGCTGCTTGGAATTCAAAGCTTCCCAGTGCGTAGTGCAGGAGTGTATAATAATCTCTCTCGTTCTTGGTTTTATATATCTTTCTTAAATTGGCATCTGCAACTTTATGGTAAATGCTAACACTGATGGTGTTCCGGGAGAAGGTGGGGGTGGAAGAGAAAGATCAGAATCTCTTTACAGTCCAAAACTGGCAACAATCTAGAAAACTGGGTAATGCTGTAGAGAGAGGATGTCTTATTCACTTGTAAGTGGCATTTGAGACTCATGCAGCAATTCCGAAGAGCCCTCTGGTGGTATTTCAATACATAGAATAGCATATACATACAGTATTTCACATCTCAGCAACTGTGAGTCTGGGCATGTAATCCTGCAATTCTAGGTACATAAAGCTATCTGTACAAGCGTTTTCAATGCCGGCCAGAATTTGGAGAAAATTGGATGTGTCGTCCTGGAGGAGGGCGTATGACACTGTGCCTCATTTAGAAGCAATAGACTAGATGTTCATACAGAAAAATAAGGAAGTGTTTCCCTCACTTTGGGCTGAGTGGCAAAGGTAAAAGAAAACTACATGCACATGCACTACATGTATGACTTTAAATGCATACATACGTGGCAGGAGGTGCAGACTCCATTCATGGCTGGGTCATGACCAGCCCGCTGTTTCCCCTGGGGTTTTAAATCTAGGTTTAGAAAGAACTGAGCTGCTCTTGATGAGTGTGGTGGGATGGTGGCCGCTGGGCCACCCATCTTATCATTGCCATGAGGACTGGAGCGAAAGAGAAAGACAGGCTGCAGGGAAAGGAAACAAGAAGCAGGCAGAAGAAGAGAAAGAAAAACGAGAGCTGGAGGGACAGCTGTTCTAGACTCTGGCCCACCTGTTTTTGTTTTTGTTTCATCTTTTCCCAAAATCGCCTGTCCGTCACTCCTTGACTGCTGCTCAACATCCATTAGCCTGGTGTGAAATCCCACGGTGGCTCAAGCCGAAGGACGCCAGCTCACTTCTGTCACAGCCCAGTGCGTCAGCTGCTTCCTGAGCGGGGCTGGGGTGCCTTTGTGCACCGAGAGGAGCTGGCGCTGCAGCACTGTGGACAGGCTGCTGGCACAGAGATACACAGCGGAGTCTCCCGGCTCAGAGGGCTGGATTGCCAGGCTGCACAGTGAGTTTTTGGAACAATTAGCTGAGAATCGCCCTTTGAACAATTCGATGTGATCGAGAACGTCTTCGTTCTGAAAGGAAATCAAAAACTTAAACTCTTTTTGGGGGATCTGTTGATACCAGTAAACAACAGGGTGTCCTTTTTGGGGGGTGCAGGTCATCCTTGCTTTCTGTCCTTTGCCTTTGACCAGATGTCCTGGAGTCTGGGTGACCTGGGCATCACTGGAGCCTGTAAAAGAGGAAAAAGGAGCAATAGACACAGGCCAGGAGGGACCCTGACAAGGGGCTTGGCCAACCCAGAACAGGATTTTTCTTTTGTGGTGAGAACTCACCTGCTCGCAGGAGACAAAGGGCCACACAGCAGAGGAGCCTGCAGCCCATGGTGGCAGGGAAGTAGCAAAAGAAGGAGGCATTTTCATGCCCCATCAGCAACCTTCCTGTGACGTGGGCACTTTGCAGACTCGTAACTGTTGTGTTACTGGGCGAAACCACCTCTTGGTATCAGGAAGAAAGCTTTTACTCTAGTTCAGTAACTATACTAGTTTATATTTTATTCATTTTAAAACAATTCATTTAAAAACATTTTGTGTATATATATTTTTTACTAACAAACTATAGATCTATACTTAGAAACTTAGACAATAAAGATAAAACACCATATGTCACTGGCAAACATGATCACTGTAAACACCCCAGTGATAGGCTTTCCAGATCTTTCCTTCTCTACGTAGATAAACAGATGCAAAATATATTTTTGGATGTTTCTGAAAAATGTTTTCTATCATGGACATGAACATCAGCCTCTAACTCAGAACTGGGCACTGCTTTTGAAGATTAATGATCTAATTATCTTTTAATATAATGCAGATCTCTGCTGTTATTGTTTTTATGATTTGGAAACTAGCTACTCCTTCATGGGGTAGTTTACCTTCTTGATATTTCAGGTATATTTTAGTTTGTTTGTTTATTAGTGTTTATTTTAAATAGTTTCTCTTTTCCCCCTGATTTTTCTCTCTATCACCCTTTATTTTAAATAGTACACTTCTTTATTTGTGATCTATTTTTTGCTTGCTTTCTTCTTCCTCCATCCCATCCCCATTCCAGGTGAGTAACATGAACATCTTAATGTGTAGCTTTCCGTGAATTTCTCTCTACTCACCCTGTTTGTTCAATGAGGTTGTTTTCTCCGCGTCAAAATATTGATACTGAATACATACACAGGAATTTGATAGCACGCCAGTACGCTGAGCTCTTGAGCAAATAACATCATATAAGGAAATAAGACGCGGCCACAGTCTTCGAAATCGCTTGTTTCTTTTTCCAGGCCTCACCCCCTGTTCTCCGACTCCATTGTCTATTTTCCTTTACTTCTAATTTATATTTTGATACATAAGAACTCAGGGAGTTCAGGGAAGGATACCCAGCAGAGGGACATACTTGAACAATGAAAACAGAGGCTGCCGCCGGTGTGTGCGCAGGTGGGCCGCGGGCGCGCCCCACGGTGGTGCACCCCCGGGACACAGGCACAGGCCCGATGGGTTGGCGTGGGCCAAGTGCGCAGTGAGAGAAAAACAGCCCTGCTGCTCTCGAGAGACTCTGTAGCCTTCACTTGTGTCTCCTCTCTGAACATCTTTCTCCGTCATTGACTAATAAATCGGCCTCAGACCTTGTCCTGGGTCCTGCCAGTACCAGTGTATGGCGTTGTACCTCAGATTCCATTTACACTCCAGGGTCACACCCAGGCCGGCCCCAGCGAGGCCAAATGGGGCGTCTGGTAGACACCAGCGCCCCCGGGTCCTGTGGGGTAAGGGTGCAGAGGCTGGGGACCATGCCCAGAGGGGAGGCGGACGCCATTGTCAAAAGAAGGTGCTAGAGAGGGCGTCTGCATGCTCAGGACAGGAATGTACTGATTAAGTGTTGGACTCACCTGCTCCCAGGAGACAAAGGGCCGTGGAGCAGAGAGCCCAGCTGCCCATAGCAGGGACGGGGTCCTTGTGAAGTTCCAGACACGGTCTTGGAGACAGGAATAAGGAAGAGGCTGGGATCTAGGGCTCCCCCTGGCTCCATGGGCAGAATCTCATTGCTATAACATGACTGTTGCACCTGAATTTGCAGGTGGGGAGATTAAGTTTCAGAGAGATCAAGTCTCTTCTCTTCTGTCTACAAAGATATTTATGTCTGTTCTAAATGGACAAGTGCCCACATGGCGAAAAGACCAAACCCTCTATTTCCTGGCCAGAGTCACACTCAGAATGCCATGTGCCTGCGCACTAGCTGTGATGAGAGCTAGGAAGGGTCTGCAATTGTCAGAGTCTATTGCCTGTCTATCAGCTGCTGTTTCCCACCAGCGCTGTTAGGTAGGGAAACACAGGAGGTTCAGACGTTCTGTTGTTATAAAATAAGTCCAATTCTTTCCAACCTCTGTGTTTATTACAATTGATACAGCAGAGATGGAGTAGAGGCTGCTCCTGCAATTTCAGCAGTTGCAAAGGGCCCTAAGCCCATGGTCCCCCAGTGGCAGTGGGTTAGAGCAGGGATTTGGGAAACGGCCTGGGTTTGAGTCTTGGCACTGCCACTTAGCATCCATGTCACCTTGGGCAAGTCTTTTCATCTCCATTTGCCTTGATTTCCTCATCTGTGGAATGGGTATAACGAACATCTGCTTCAAAAAATACATTAATGTTGTGAACATTATACAAACAAGAAATTCAAACAGTTCTTAACACACAATAAGCACCAGATCCATGTTTGCTATTATTATTTTCTGGACCTTGTACTCTGGTGCACAGGACTTAGGAAGTTAACACTATGTCAAGGGAAATTAGGTGGTTACTGACATAGGATTCCACCAGCACAGGATTCCACCAGCATAGGATTCCCAGCATCAAGTTGAAATGTATATGAGTGTGAATTCATTCTTGTGGTAGATAAATATTTGTTTTATTTTTAGGTCTGAGATTATCTGTGATGAAAGACATTTTCATGATGAACTTGTGGTTGGAATCTGTTGGCTTGGAAACTGTTGAAATGTTGCTGCCCCTTCCTGGAAGACAAGGAGAGAATGGGGGAGAGAGAGAGAGAGAGAGAGAGAAGAAGTGGCTGAGGACCATTAGCAGGTGCAGCAGCGTGGGCAGACCTCTGAGAAAACGCTTTCTGACAAGGGGCTCCCTTTTGGTCAAGCTTCAGGGTTTCGACCGCAGCCGCCAAGCTGAGGGTCTCACACGTCTTCCAGGGCCTCGTGCGTTGGTTGGTGCCATGAACCCCTCTGGCGACCTGGTAAATCCTAAGGACCCCTTCTCAGAATAATATTTTAAGCCCATGAAGTAGGATACACCATATTACAAAAGAAACCAATTATTGTGCGACACTGTTATCAAAATATTCTAAAAGGAATTTATGGTATATTAATAATATGTTTGTCTTCAAAATTTGTTAAGTAATATGTTTCCTGGTGAGTCGGAAAACTGCCATGATTTCAAAGTAACGATGAGAGTAAATGATACGTACTCTATGTCCTGGGATCAGAAGGTACCTACGACTTTCATACCAACTATACTGTACACAAAGGTCTCTGGTCCTATTATTGATTCTGCCACAGCACTGAACTCTGGGGAGAGGGAAATATTCTGTGTCTTGATTGTCATGGTTACATGGTTGTAAAAATTTGTCAAAATATATTGAAATATAATGTGAAACGGGCTCATCTTATTGTCTGTTATGTTGCTTTTAAAAGTTGCATTTAAAAAATGAACGGATGAGTGAGTGAATGAATGAATGAATAAAAGTCGCATGATTGTAGCATTCTAAGGGAGGGAGCTGCTGAGTTTCTGCCAATTTCCATGGCAGGGACAGCGGTGGGGACATCATGACTCCCTTAAGGCCGCTCTCGCTCCGGTTCCGTGGAATGCGCTCGGCCAGATGAGCAGTGTCCAAATGAGAGACCTTTGACCTTCCCGTTTTCCTTATTGCTAAAAGCACGGCTTTGCCAGGCGAAGACCCCAGAATTACCTATTTTTATAAAGATTGTTAGAAATCCATCATACACATGAAAGAAAAGAAAAAAGGTTTCTTGGGTTTTTCCTTGGCCAGACACGCTGGGAACTGGGAATTCCAAGCCCCCTTACAGAGAGACTGTCTCCTCCCCACAGTTTCTGTCCCTGCCTGCTCTGTGTGATGTCCCTTCCTGCTCGTCTAGAGCTGCCATTGAGGAGTTCTTCCTGCGGGTGCCTGCTCTTTGAAGTCGTGTTTCTATTCACTCCTACCACCTACTGTGCCGCCCATTCCCTGAGCGGGCCCAGGGTGACTTTGTGCACTTGGAGGAGCTGAAAGCGCAGCACTGTGGACTGGCTGCTGGCACAGAGATACAGAGCGGAGTCCCCTCGCCCAGTGGGCTGGATTGCTAGGCTGCACGGTGAGGTTTCGGGACATAGAAATGAAAATCGATCATTGGCCACTTTTGCTTTCTCAATAACTTTGTCATTCCGTAAGTAAGCCAAAAACATGAGCTCTTCTCCCAGCTTCTGATGGTACCAATAAACATAGCTATGTCCTTTCCTGGGGACACACTCCATCCTTGCTTCCTGTTCTTTTCCCTTGACCAGATGTCTGGGACTCTGGGTGACCTCGGTGTCCACAGAGCCTGTGGAGGGAGAGACAGAAAGTGGAGAGAAAGCCCAAGAGGCAGCCCAATATCACTGGCGCGGGAGAAAGTCCAACACCGGGGTCTGCGCGGTCACAGCAGAAACCCACCTGTTCCCCAGACACAAAAGGCCACAAAGCAGAGAAGTTTTAGGCACATAGCTGGCTCAGGAAAAGAGCAGGGGCAGGTGGCCATCCCTCGTCAGCAACCTCCTTGTGACAGTCACTTCCCATAGGCTTCAGCGTCCCCAAGTCCGTGAGACTGAAACATTTCAGAGGAAGTGGGAGGCAAGAGAGCTGGTGTGAACTCACTGGTGTGCATTTCAAACGGCTTTTATCTTCTTTTCCCCTGACTCTGCTCTTTCGCCATTTTTGTTATAAAAGCACTTATACATCTTTTATTTATTTGCTTGTTTAACCTGTCCATTTGCCTCCCCCTTCCTCCCTTCCACGTCAGACGATGAATGATACAGCTTGGGGCATATCAGTCACAGCTTTTACTGCATGTATAAAACCATGTAGCAGTTTCTTACATTAAACAATTAAATGGGGAGCCCTGGCAGGGTGACTCAGTTGGTTGGAATATCATCTCACACCAAAAGGTTGAGGGTTTGATTCCCGGTCAGGGCACATACCTAGGTCGTGGGTTCGATCTCCAGCCGGAGAGCGTGAGGGAGGCAATCGATCAATATTTCTTTCTTTCTCTCCTTGCCTCTCTCTCTCTAAAATCAATCCACATATCC